AATGGATGTGATGTTTCCCTTTTTCCAGTCATGGAGGACGTAGTCTGACTGCTAGGATTGCTCAAATAACATGGAAAATGGCTTAGCAACTACATCAGCCCTCAGGACCTACAATTCCTTCAGGATCCTGGCATGCATCTCATCAGGTCCCACGGTCTTGCTTATGCTCAGGTTCCTCAGATGGTTTCTAACCTGATCTTCTTCTATGATGACAGGAACGTCTTTCCCCCAGTCCCTGCCTTGACGTTCAGGGGCTTGAGAGATGTGGGAAGAGAGATTGCCAGTGTCAGGGTGACTGAAGTTCCCCAGGAGGATCGGAGCCTGCAAGCATGATGCTTCCTCTAGTTGGAGTAAGAATGCTTCATCGACATCCTCCCCTTGGTCAGGTGGCCTGTATTATACACCAGCCATGAGGTTTCCTTTGTTGGCCTTTCCCTTATTTTTACCCATAAGCTCTCAACATGTTCATTGCTGTTTTTCAAAGACAGCTCTGTGCACTAAATCCATTTTTTTACATAGAGGGCAACCCTCTTGCCTCCCTTCTTTGCCTGTTTTCTGAACAGTTTATAGCCATCAAGTGCAGTGCTCCAGTCATGCAATTTGTCCAAGTATCAGTGACAGCAATTAAATCATAGCTTTCCAGGTGCACAGTGGCTTCCATCTTTTACTGTTTGTTACCCATGCTGCATGCACTGCTATAGAGGCACTTTAGTGAGCCTATCAACCTTGTCACCTTTTTATAGAAACACAGCCTAATTCCTTTGAGGCATTTCACAGGTGTTTCCCTGTTGGTTCCTAATATTGATTTTATAAGTTTTTAATATTATATAATTTTACACATGTAATTATTATATCTTTTTACTATTTAAAACAACATGCAAAACATGTAATAAATAAATGTTTTAGGAAGGAATTTAACCTTCCTGGAAACCAGTTTAAAATCAATGGTGGATACTACAAAATCAACTTTGCAAAGAAAGCTCTATTCCTGATAATGGTCAGTTGGCTATAATACTAGAATCAGCTGATGAGTCCTTCATACTGGAAATAGAACAGAAAGCATAGTAGACTTGAATAATAAACAAGACTTAAAATGTTTGGCAATATTTAGTTGGTTTAATAGGTTTCAAAACTGATAAGATTTTTAGCAGCCACTGATAATACATAAATAATAATTATCCAAAAATGAAATGACAAAGCATATACATTTTGCTTTTTTAACAACTAGAACTTTTATATGTAAAACTTAAACTAAAGCCTACTGAAGTCAGCTGAAGGACTGTCCGACATTAATGAACTCAGGCTCATGGCCATAGTGCATTCACAGCTGTCAGGTAGACTAAAGCCAGTAAAGCAACTAATGTTTAGATTAAAATTAATAAAAATGTAGAATTTGCAGTGGCAAAAGCAAAAACTTCTAGAGACTTTCCTAAATGCATTGAAATACCCACTCTCCTTTTCTTTAAATACAGCCCTTCCATCAACTCCAGTACACCTTCCTACTCAACAGAATTAGG